ATTTTATTATGCTCGTGGGTTCTCTGGGTCAGGAGTATGGGCTGGGCACAGCAGAGAGGCTTGTCTCTGTTGCATGATGTCTCAGGCCTCAGCTGGGAGGGCTCGAGCAGCAGGGGTGATGCCAGTGCTTGGAGCCTGGCATCTGGAGGCTTCCTCCCTCACAGTCTGGTGCTTTCATGGGATTTGCTGAAAGTCTGGGTGCAATTGAGAATGACTGGAGCACCCACACGTGCCCTACCAGCCTTCTGACGTGCACCGAGGCCTGCTGGAGGGAGTGTTCTGACCAGTCAGGAGGAAGCTGCAAAGCCTTTTTTGACTGACTCAGACGTCAAAAAGTGCTACTGGCATTCTACTCTCATGAGTGCTCTGTTAACTAAGGTGGTCTTGGCATGCATATTGAATATAGATCTGCCATTTTCAAGCATCAGAACTTTGAAAGGATATCCTATCCCACTGAACTAATCAATAAGACAGACCTGTATAAACTTTCTAATAGGCAACATAATAGAAAATAGATAGGCTCTTTGAAGTCATGAGATTAATGCAGTGAAATAAATTATAAGCAAACACAATGGAAGTTGACCAGCACAACAGCTGTCAAGCCCCTTCAGCTTTATTGATATATAATTGACATATAGCATTGTGTAAGTTTAAGGAATACAACATAGTGATCAGATACATTTTATACATATTGCCAAATGATTAGCACAGTAACATTAGTTAATACCTCCATCACCTCACAGAATTACCATTTCGCTTTTTGTGGTGAGAACATTTAAGTGCATAATACAGAATTGTTGACTATAATCACCATGCTAGATCCCCAGAACTTATCCTATAACTGGAATTTATACCTTTTGACCAAATCTTCTCCTTTGCCCCACCTACCAGCCCTTGGCAACCACCGTGCTACTCTCTGTTTCTAGAAGTTTAGCTTTTCTAGATTCCACATATAAATGATATCATAACAATATTTGTCTTCCTCTGTTTGACTTATTTCACTTAGCACAATGCCCTCCAGTTCTATGCACCAAAATGGCAGGATTTCCTTCTTTCTTGTGGCTAAGATAGATAGATAGATAGATAGATAGATAGATAGATAGATAGATATAGATACATACACCCCACATACCCCATAGTTCCTTTATGCATTCATCCATAGATGGCCACTTAGGCTGTTTCCATATCTTGCCTCTTAACTGGTCTTTCTACTTTTCATCTCCCCTACCTATGGGCTATCCTATACTGTTTTCCCATTGATCTCCATGGGTTACAGTCATGTCACTGCTCTTCTCAGAATATTTCTGTGGTTCCATAGCTGCCCACTGAGTTAATGACAGCCTGCCTTAGCACTTTGAGATCTCTACAGTTTACCCCTCCTATCTTTACAGCTTTATTTCCTACAACTCATCTCCACACAACTGATGTTTCAGCCAAGCTGGAATAAAATATGGATTTATTAAATGAATTCTTGCTCATTTGGGGGAGATCTGGATTGCAGGCAGCTGACCTTCTGCTGGATAAGAAGCCCATGTGAGGCATCCACCACAGAAACTCTTGCCTTTCTGAGAATCATTGGGTCGTCCTCATCGATTCTCATGGTTTCTCATTTTTTCTGGCTGTCAGAATGGAAAATGTTATGTAGGGAATTGTTATATGCCCCTGACTTGTTCCCCAAAGAAGAGGTGTTCTACTCAGAAGAGGAAATAAAAGGAAATGGTGTATTTTTTCTAGACAGCGTGTTTCCTCTTTGCTTGTATATATTCTGTTGGGTAGAGTATGCAGCCAGTCAGAGCAATGCATCCAGTTTAATGACATTCTTCACTGGAAAGCTTGTACCAAGGAAATAAATTACTGCATTTTCCATAGGAAATGGGTTTGTACTTTATAGTAAGTTCAATGCTTTCCAACAATGTCATTCACTGATTTCCTTGTATTAGAGATATATTTTTCAATTGACTGGATTTACTGAGTACATGGTCCAAAAGCCAAGTTGCTCCCCTGTTATTCTTTTGGGTGGTTTGTTTTGTTTTAAAGTTCTTTTGCTTTAAAAAAAGATGTCTTGTAAATCTTATAGTGTGGTGTAACAGGCCTGGAAAAACATGCCTACAGTGTGACCCTCTCATCTGATGTGATTGGGATCTGTATTTGGTAGGTTATTCAAAGGTTGATTAACCAAAAGTATGTACTAGTAGATGTAGGAGAGAAAGTTGTGTGAAGGAAGGAGAGAGAAGTACAACCTAACTTTTCTCCTGCTCTTAATAGTTGGGAACTCAGGGTCTGGATTCAGATGGCTTGGGTTCAAATTCTAGACTATCACTTGACTAGTTATAATCTTGAGCAAATTACATGCCCTTTTAAAGGTCCAGTTTCCTCATCCTTAAAAAAAGTGGTAAGAGCAGTACATTTCTCAGAGTTGTTTAGAGGATTAAATAAGATATGCTTGCAAAAGAAAAAAAAAAGCCTTAATAAAAGGCAAGCCACATGCCAAGTGCTCAATAAATGTTAGAAATTATGCTTACTTTCACCATACACTTTTATGTAGATATCACTCCAAGCCTAAATTCTAATTACTTGTAGCTACCAGTAGTTGCACATGGAGTAAAGTAATAATAGCTGTGCATCAAATTAACCAAGTGCCTTGGTGGTATCATATGTCTTCAATACATGCTGAACATCATCAAGTTTAAGAATTGCTAATAATACTAAAGTACATGGTAAGTCTATTTACAGTTAAGGGGAACATTTTAAATTATGGTTTATAAGCCTTCTAATTATAGAGCTTTGGTGTCTTGTGTTGATCAATTTGAAAAGTAGTATTCGTGCTGTTAGCCTCACAATGCGAGATATTCTGGTTTCTTCACAACCTGTATTGAGTTCCATTAGTCCTCTTGCCAATTGAATCTATGCATTTAATATTTGCATTTCTCAATATTTGCCTAGGAAAGGATCTCCTCACCTATCTGAGTTAGTGATGGAAATATTTGGAAAAAGTTTTAGACAGTGAAGCTTAAGGCTCAAGGATACAACGGAATAAATAATAAACATGTTAACCTCATATATGAAATGCTCCATCCAGGTGTTGTTTAGTGAAGCAACAAGTACTTCTGGGGGAAAAGAAGCAAGGACAAAATAATAAAGAATAAACCAATGAGAAAAAGATG